GGATAAAGAAACACAAACAAGACAATTTTAAAAACCTGAACAAGCTCACGATAAATTTCATCCAGAAACCAAAGAAACTAAAAATCGCACACATTCACGCAAGGGAACAAAATTACCCAGAGCGAAAGGAAACTAGAATGAAGGGTGGCTAGAATTAATGTTTGATCAAGGAGTCCAAAGGCAAGAAACACAAACTTTCTGATCAGTTATGATAAGGAGTCCCCGTCCTCGCAGTTCGAAAAGAAAGCCCACATTCAGAAGGTCAAAAACACCCCCAGGCTTGAGTGCTGGGAGCACTAGAGGGGGGTCAGTCCCTGGTGATGAAAGCTGGGGCGTTTGAGCAGTCACAGGAACCTCTGGGAGCTCCTCTTGTCCTCCTGACCCCGGCAGCAAGGACCTCCCCAGGCTTCGGTTATCACAAGTGAGGAAATGCACCCGAGGATTCTTCGTAAGGTTTCCAGCCAAGTGGATTCTTAAACGCACAAACCCCACAGACCGAGATGGGATCTCCCCAGGACCCTCCCGCAGTCACTGAACAATCTGGGGAGATGCGGGGCTGCGGGTGCGGAGCTGCCCACAGAGCGGCTCCAGGGCCGGGGGCCGAGGTCGCCCCGCGGGGATGGGATAGGGCGCTGGGGCTCCCGGCTGCCGGTCCAGCCCCCACGGAGAGGACCGAGGACCTAACTGCGCCCGTGGTGGCCCCCGGGTCTGCAGACCCCGGAGGTGACTGCAAGGAGGTCCCCGGCCTCGGCCACAGACGGTTCTAACCAGAAACCTCCCCTCGGACACTGGTCCCGCACACTCACCATTTCCCAGAGTTCGGGAAGTCCCGGTGTCCTCCCTATGGATCTGTCAGTAGCTGCAGGTCACGGCGCGACAAAGGATGCGCCAGAGCCACCTTTGCCCTCAGAAGCAGGTGAAACGCAATCTTGCCATGGGCCAGGAATGGCGACGTCCGCACTGCGCATGCGCAGCGTGGCCACTCCCCCATCTTTCCAGCTGAGGTCCTGATTGGACAGATCCAATGGCCCCGCCTCTTTGTCACTGAGTGACAAGGGAGCAGGAAGGGGCGTGGCTGAACTGGCCTGGCTTCAGTCCGGTTTGTCCCTGCCAGGACGTTTGCATTTAAGCCGAATGTATTCTTTGCCTCCCATCCATTTTAAGTGTTCTCTTCAGTACTGTTAAAATACATTCAGATTGTGAAGCCAATTTCCAGAATTGTTTTCATCTTGCAACCCAGATACCTGTCTCGTTGCACAACTCCCCGTGCACCCCTTCCCTCAAGGTCTTTTGCAACCTCCATTCTACTGTCTGAATTCGTGAATTTGACTGGGGGTATCTCATGTAAATGGCATCATAAAGTATTTGTCCTTTTCTGACGTGTTTATTTCACTTAGCGTAATGTCCTCGAGCTTCACCTCGTAGTATGTGTTAGAATTTACCTCTTCTTTTTTTCTTAAAAGACAGGCTTTTGCTCTGTGGCCCAGGCTGAAGTGCAGTGGCGTGATCATTGCTCACTGCAGTCTTCAACTCCTGGACTCAAGCAAGCCTCCAACCTGAGCCTCCTAAGTATCTGGGACCACAGGCACGCACCACCAAGCCTGGCTAATTAATTGTTTTAATTTTTTTATTTTTTGTAGAGATGTGCATCTCCTTATGTTGCCCAGGCTGGTCTCGAACTCCTAGGTTCAAGCGATCCTCCTGCCTCAACCTCTGAAAGTGCTGGGATTACAGGTGTGAGCCACTGCCACTGGCCAATTTACTTTTTTTTTTCTTTGGAGATGGAGTTTCGCTCTTGTTGCCCAGGCTGGAGTGCAGTGGTGCTCAGCCACGGCAACCTCTGCCTCCCAGGTTCAAGCGATTCTCCTACCTCAGCTTTCTGAGTAGCTGGAATTACAGGTGCCCACCACTACTCCGGCTAATTTTTGTATTTTAGTAGAGATGGAGTTTCACCATGTTGGCCAGGCTGGTCTGGAACTCCTGACCTCAGGTGATCCGCCCTCTTTGGCTTCTCAAAGTGCTGGGAGCATGAGCCACTGCACATGTCCCCAATTTATTTCTTTTTAATGCCGAATTATATCCTATTGTACGTAGATATCACATTTCTGGATCTATTTATCCATTTATTTATTTATTTATTTATTTATTTATTTATTTTTGAGACAGAGTCTTGCTCTGTCGCTTCACTGGAGTGCAATGGCGTGATCTCGGCTCACTGCACTCCACCTCCTGGGCTCAAGCGATCCTCACGGCTCAGCCTCCCGAGTAGCGGGGGTTACAGGCGTGTGCCACTATGCCCAGCTAATTTTTGTAATTTTAGCAGAGGTGGGGTTTCACCATGTTGCCCAGGCTGGTCTCAAACTCCTAGGGTCAAGAGATCTGCCCACCTTGGTCCCCCAAAGCGCTGGGGTTACAGGCATGAGCCACCTCCCCCGGACTTATTTATCCTTTCATGGACACTTAGGTCGCTTCCACCTTTGGCTGCGGTAAATCATATGCCTGTGAACATGGGTGAACAAATATGTGAGTTGCTGCTTTCAGTTTTTTAAGGTATGCTCAGAAGCGGACTTCCTGGATCATATGATTACTTCGTATTTATTATTTATATAAGGAATGGCCAAACTCTTTTTTCCTAGCAGCCATAGCATTTTTCATTCCCACCAACGGTGCACAAGGATCCCAAAAGGTGTTCTCACTTTTTTGATGGTGTCCTTTGAAACACAAAAGTTATCAATTTTGCTGGGCATGGTGGTTCACGTTTGTAATCCCAGTACTTTGGGAGGCTGAGGCAGGAGGATCACTTGAGGTCAGGAGTTTGAGACCAGCCCAGGCCAACATTCTGAGACCCTGTCTCTACAAAAAAATAAAAAAATCAGTTGAGTGTGGTGGCACACACCTGTAGTCCCAGATACACAGGAGGCAGAGGCAGGAGGATCACTTGAGGCTGGGAGGTTGAGGCTGCAGTGAGCCATGATTGTGCCACTGCACTCCAGCCTGGGTGACCGATCAAGACCCTGTCTCACACACACACACAAATATTCATCCTATACTAGGCATTGATATTTTATTTATTTTTGTTATTTTTTGAGACAGGGTCACGCTCTGAGATCACGCCTGAGCTGAGACTTAGAGTGAGATTAGCCAGCTCTTAGAGTGAGGTAAGTTTAGCTCTCCAACTTTAGTCCTTTTCCCTGTCTGTTTTTTTCTCTGCCATTACTGAACTGCTGGTCATGCCCTCCTCACCAATTTATCTCTCTCTCTCTCTCTCTTTTTTTTTAGACAGAGTTTCACTTTGTTGCCTAGGCTGGAGTACAATGGCACGATCTCGGCTCACTGCAACCTCCACCTCCCACGTTTAAGCGATTCTGCTGCCTCAGCTTCCTGAGTAGCTGGGATCACAGGCATGCGCCACCATGCCTGGCTTATTTTTGTATTTTTAGTAGAGACGGGGTTTCCCTATGTTGGCCAGGTTGGTCTCGAACTCCTAACCTCAAGTGATCCTCCCGCCAAGGCCTCCCAAAGTGCTGGGATTACAGGCATGAGCCATAGTGCCTGTCCGATTTAGGAACTCTTTAAAAATTTTTTAAATAAA